ATTTAATTTAATTTAAGTTTAGTTTAATTTAATTTAATTTTAGTTCAACTTAATTTAATGCAATTTAATTTAATTTAATTTAATCCTAAGAAGAATTTAATTCCTGCTTTTCTTCCCGGACGTTCCGCTAATTTTCCCACATTTTCCATAAATTCCGGGTTTATTTTTTTGGGGTTTTTTTGGGATTTTTGAGCCGTTTTTAGGAGTTTTGAGCCATTTTTGGGGGTTTTGTGGATTTTTGGGGCTTTTGAGCCGTTTTGGGGGTTTTTGAGCCGTTTTCAGGGGTTTTGAGCCGTTTTTAGGGGTTTTGTGGTTTTTTGGGGTTTTTGTGGTTTTTTGGGGGTTTTGAGCCGTTTTTGAGGTTTTTGAGCCGTTTTTAGGGGTTTTGAGCCGTTTTTGGGGTTTTTGAGCCATTTTTTGGTTTTTTTGTGGTTTTTTTGGGTTTTTTTAGCCATTTTTGGGGGTTTTTTGTGGTTTTTTGAGCCGTTTTTGGGGATTTTGAGCCGTTTTTGGGGGTTTTTGTGTGTTTTGGGGGGTTTTGAGCCATTTTGGGGGGTTTTGTGGTTTTTTGGGGGGGTTTTGAACCGTTTTGGGGTTTTTTTGTGGTTTTTTGGGGTTTTTGAGTCGTTTTGGGTTTTTTGAGCCAATTTTGGGATTTTTCCACAAAATCCCAGTACCTGGAGAGGAAGCTGCGGCAGCTGAAGGGAGCTCAGCACCTGAACCAGGTGAAGCTGGATTACAACCTGGAGGTGCTGCGGCAGCTGGACCTGGAGAACTCCAACCTGCGCGCGATCCAGAAGAGGAAAATCAACAAGTGAATCCCGCCCCCGGGAATCTCTTCCCCTTCCCAAAATTTTTCCCGGGGATTTCCTGCCTTTCCCAAAGGTTTTCCTGTCAATCTCTTCCCATTCCCAAATCTTTTCCCAGGGATTTCCTCCCATTCCCAAAGCTTTTCCTGTGATCTCCTYCCATTCCCAAAACTTTCCCAGCATTCCCAAGGCTTTTCCAAGGGATCTCTCCCCATTCCCAAAGATTTTCTGGGGATCTCCCCCCTTTCCCAAAGCTTTTCCCAGGGATTTCCCTCCTCTCCCAAATTTTTTCCTGGGATCTCTTCCCATTCTAGCTTTTCCTGGGGATTTCGTTCCTTTCCCAAATCTTTTCCTGGGGATCCCAAATCTTTTCCCAGGGATGCCAAACCCATTCCCAAACCTTTCCCATCATTCCCAAATCTTTTCCTGGCATTCCCAAATCTTTTCTTGGGGATCTGTTCCCATTCTCGAATCTTTTCCCAGGGATTTCCTCCCATTCCCAAATTTTTTCCCGGGATCTCTTCCCATTCCCAAAGCTTTTCCCTGGGGATTTCACTACTTTCCCAAATTTTTTTCCCAGGATCTTTTCCCATTCCCAAAGCTTTTCCCTGGGGATTTCACTCCTTTCCCAAATCTTTTCCTGGGGATCCCAAATCTTTTCCCGGGGATCCCAAACCCATTCCCAAATCTTTTCCCGGGGATCTCCTCCCGTTCCCAAATCTTTTCCTGGAGATTTCTCCTCTTTCCCAAATCTTTTCCTGGGGATCTCCTCCCATTCCCAAAGGTTTTCATCCCATTCCCGAAGCTTTTCCCAGGGATCTCCTCCCATTCCCAAATATTTTCCCAGGATCTCCTCCCATTCCGAAATCTTTTCCCAGGGATCTCCTCCCATTCCAGAATTTTTCCCCGGGGATCTCCTCACATTCCCAAATCTTTTCCCAGGGATCCCAAAGCTTTTCCTGGGGATCCCAAACACATTCCCAAATATTTTTCTGGGGATCTCCTCCCATTCCCAAATCTTTTCCCGGGGATCTCCTCCCGTTCCTGATTTTTTTCCTGGGGATCTCCTCACATACCCAAATTCTATTCCTGGAGATCCCAAAGCTTTTCCTGGGGATCTCCTCCCGTTCCCAATTTTTTTCCTGGGATCTTTTCCCATTCCCAAAGCTTTTCCCCGGGGATTTCACTCCTTTCCCAAATCTTTTCCCGGGGATCCCAAACCCATTCCCAAACCTTTCCCCATCATTCCCAAACCCATTCCCAGAATTCCCAGCCCTTTCTCTCCGCCCCATCCCAGATTCCAATCCTCCCTGAGCATCCTGAAGGTCCGAATGGCCGACCAGGAGAAGAAATTCCAGGAGGAGCGTCAGAGCCTGGAATTGGATTGCCAGAGGGTGATGGGGCAGATCCAGGAGACACGGGGCAGGATGAGGTGGGAATTCCCTTCGGAGCCTCCGGAAAAATGCGGGGGATGGATCTGATTGGTTTGATCCCATTTTATTTAATCCGATTTTTCTTAATCCATTTTTTTAATCCGATTTTTTATCTGTTTTTTTTTCTCCATTTTTTTATGTTTTTTTTAATACATTTTCTTTTATCTGATTTTTTTGTCCAATTTTTTTTAACTCATTTTTTTATCCAATTTTTTTAACTCATTTTTTTATCCAGTTTTTTTAATCTGAATTTTTAACCAATTTTTTAACCCATTTATAACCGATTTTTTTTAATCTGATGTTTTTTATCCGATTTGTTTTAATCCGATTTTTTTAATCTGATTTTTTTAATCTGATTTTTTTATCTGATTTTTTAATCCTTTTTTTAATCCGTTGTTTTTATTATCCGTTGTTTTTCAATCCGTTGTTTATCCGTTTTATTTTATCCATTTTCTTTTATCTGATTTTTTATCCGATTGTTTTAATCTCATTTTTTTATCCGATGTTTTTTATCTGATTTTTTTAATCCGATTTTTTAATCTAATTTTTTATCCATTTTTTTATCTTTTTTTTCTCCTTTTTTTTAATCCGAATTTTTTAATCTCATTTGTTTTAATCCAATTTTTTATCAGATTTTTTTAATCCAAATTTTTAAACCAATTTATTGTCCATTTTTTGATCCATTTTTTAAATCCATTTTCTTTTATCTGATTTTTTTCATCCGTTTTTTTAAATCAGATTTTTTTATCCAATTTTTTAACCAATTTTTTAATCTGATTTTTTTATCAGATATTTTTTATCCGATTGTTTTTATCCGATTTTTTTAATCTGATTTTTTTATCTGATTTTTTTAATCCAATTTTTTAATCCATTTTTTAATCCATTTTTTTCTCTGTTTCTTTTTATCCATTTTTTTATCTGATTTTTTAATCGGTTTTTTTTAATCGCATTTTTAGCTGATTTTTTTTAAACCAATTTTTTTTAATCCAATTTTTTTATCCGTTTTTTTATCTGGTTCTTTTTTCTCCATTTTTTTTCTGGTTTTTTCATCCATTTTCTTTTATCTGATTTTTTTTATCAAATTTTTTTTAACTCATTTTTTTTAATCCAAATTTTTTTACCTGATTTTTTTTAATCTGATATTTTTTATCCTATTGTTTTTAACTGATATTTTTAATCTCATTTTTTAACCAATTTTTTTCAATCCAATGTTTTTTATCTGATTTTTTATCCAATTTTTTTAACTGATTTTTTTATCCAATTTTTTTTAACCTATTTTTTTAATCCGATTTTCTTAATGCAATTTTTTTAAATGCAATTTTTTTAAACGATTTTTTTTTTAACCAATTTTTTTTTTTTCAATCCCTCCCAGGTACCTGGCCCGCTGCAACGCCGAAAAATTCCGAAAGGTTTGGAT